TGTGTGTGTGTGTGTGTGTGTGTGTGTCCGGCCTCTTGACTTGACAATTTTTCTTCCTTATCTGGCGGGAGAGAAAAGGAAAGAGTGAAACAATGGAGGGAGGAGGCAGGGAGTGAGGAGAAAGAGAGGAGCTGGAGGAGGGAGAGTGAGAAGGGAGGAGGTGGAGGAGGGAGAGTGAGAAGGGGGGAGGAGGGGGAGTGAGGAGAAAGGGGGGAGATGGAGGAGTGAGAGTGAGAAGGGGGGAGGTGGGGGAGTGAGGAGAAAGGGAGGAGGTGGGGAGTGAGAAGACGAGGAACGAGTTACAAGCAACAAAATAAGCAATCTGAACAAAAGAGTTTTTTATAATGTAGGCCTTACAATAATATATACATGAAGCAACGTGGTGAAATCAGGCGCTCGTCAAAGTAATAAAATCAAAGAAATCTGCTTTTCTTTTGCCCATGGGCACCTTTTTTAAATTAAAATTTTTAAATTTTAGCTCAGCACCTTTTATGTCCATTTAAAAACACATTTTTGTGTGGATTTTATTGAAAAACATTGATTAAAGGCAAAAAAAATTGTAAATTTTCAGTTTCCAAGGACTATGGAAGTTACCAAACTTTGGTGGACATTTTCTCGCTAATTTTACTTCTGAAACCAGGCAACCCGGCTGTCGTCCTTCAATCGCAAGCATTTCGTCTTCTATCCAAAAGAGATGGATTTCTTTTCACCGAAAGGAAGGCAAATGAATAGGCTTTAAGATAATACCAATAACCCCAAATGCCCAAAAATTGATGAGCGCCCAATTCCACTGTGTCGTCACAAGTGTATTCAAAAACAGGAAAAGTAATACAGTCAAACCTGTGTAAGACGGCCACCCATTGTCAAGCAGAAAAGTGGCCGAATAAGACAGGTGGCCATCTTAGGCAGGACTGATCAAGATGAAGAAAACAAACCATTCCCATCTGAGGTTCCAATCGAAAGTAGCTGTATTGCTGTTGGTTTGTATTTTGTTTGTTATTTTTATTTTGTTGCTGATTTTGCGCAAGGGTGACAGTAAAACGAAATGTATCAGACCAGGAAGACCGAGTGCCATGTTAAAATAAAAACACATGGTTCGACACCACTCGGAGAACGAGCGACGCTTCTGTCACAAGTTCATGTTGACGTCCTTTGTTACTTTGTTACGGACTGGGTAAACAGTGACCACTCATCTCACTTACGATTTGTGTATGACTTCTGGGCGGGGCTTATGGGTTATGAAGGATCACATGCTTACCTCACCAGCAGCTGAAAATTGGTACTTATTGGTCAACAGTGGGAGGGGCCTACGCAACATGATCGGTTGGAGAGACTACCTAACAACAACGACAGGTGATTGGATTATGACGGCTCGCCCACAACGCCAGGGGTCAATGCACAATTTATGACAAAACGTAATGGAGTC